ATCTAGTTACAACATACTAGTTACACAATATATCACACGAGTTGCAACATGTCACACAAGTTATATCATACATCAACCCAGTTAACAAGCAATATCTGTTGACTTGCTGAATCAACTGAAACAGTGCCCTCACAGTCATGTCCGGAGATTTTCTAAATCAGCCGAAACAGTGCCCTTACAGTCATGTACCAAGCCACAAGAGGCCGGTAACTAGAATGCCGAATCCGGCATTCTGATTGGTCCATCACTTTCTCGTTGCTTGTTCCATTTCCCTTGGTTACCTGACGTCAGCGCTTACGCTCGTGGACGTTCAGGGGTTTCCTTTTACTTTCGAAAGTTGGGTGAATAAAAATGTTTTTTGTTATAAATGTGCACAGAAGCAGCGAAGAATGTCAGAAACATCTCAAATATGTAAATCTAAGCAGGCAGTATGTATGAGCATGGCTTTATTGTAGTATTACAGACACGTTTACGCAGAATGTAACTTGGAATGTTTTCAAATTACGTCACTCAGTCACGTTCATTCCGGCCGGAAAACCTGCCCAAATGGAACAATATGGCGATTACTAGTTACGTGCTATTTGCAAAGGAACCAGCGAAAATCAGCTGAAACAATGCCTTCACTCTCAGTCCTGTCTGTTGACTTTCTAAATCAACAGAAACAATGCCCTCACAGTTCTGTATGGTTATTGCTGAATCAGCAGAAACAATGCCCTCACTCTCAGTCCTGTCTGTTGACTTGCTAAATCAACAGAAACAATGCCCTCACAGTTCTGTATGGTTATTGCTGAATCAGTAGAAACAATGTCCTCAGTCCTGTCAGGTGAATTCCTGAATCAGCTGAAACAATGCATTTACAGTCCTGTCTGAAGACTTGCTAAATCAGCTGAAACAATGCCCTCACAGTCCTGTCTGGTGACTTGCTGAATCAGCAGAAACACTGCTCTCACAGTCCTGTCTGCAGTCTTGCTGAAACAGTTTCCTCAGTCTTGTCTGGTGACTTGCTGAACTTTAACATTTTCCTTTTCTCAAAATGATGTTCACTTGACAACAGAATCTTTTGATGATTATTTATTACAATACTTACAATTGATGCAAAAACCATTTCCGATAAGAATACAATTCAGTGAAAATAAGTGCAGTGATATGCATATTGCAAAATTATAAAATTTGTATAGAGCACATTCAATTCTAAATCAAAAACATTTTATGAATAAAAAAACAGTAACAAGTATATAAAGGTGAAAATCTGCACATTCATGAACATTCTACTGCATAAAAACAAAAGAAACAAACAGTAAGGACGGCATATGTCAACAGTATATGAACAGTATCAATGGACGGCAGCATCAAATGAAATTTAATAATAGTTCTGATATGGGTTGAATATTTTACCTATCAATATCATGGTATCACCTTGGTCTTCTTCATATCATCATTAACACCAGTAAAATGATATCAAAAATAAACTGTTAAGTACATGTAAACTGTAAGTGCATTGTATATAGTTTTTTTTAGATACACAGTTTGGTGAATAATTTCAAGATGAATATTGGGAACACAAATTCCACTATGATTTACATACAGCACCACGATTTATTTGTGGTTACATCAAAATTAACATATGAAGTGAACTGGTATCAATGAACATTTGACTGGAATGTCAAACATGACCAAATATGGTAACTGTAAATAATCATATTCTACTGGCAATACAATTTTAGTTGATCAGCATTATTCTCATATATGGGCATGATGATGATGATGATGATGATGATGATGACGACGACGACGACGACGACGACGACGACGACGACTATAATGATGGTAATTATTAGCACCAATTTTGAATGGCTGGATTGTAATTCAGTCGCCATGTTTTTTGGGATAAAAATGGTCTGCATGGAAACATTTCAGTAGTAGCTAGCTTTCAGCTGGCTTAAGCTAACATAATCTTAATTTCAAATCTTGTACAGATTAATTTGCATGAATTGAATAAGTTGAAATAACTATATAATCAATAATAATCACTTTAAAAATTGTATTTTTTTTCTGAAAAGACGAAGCAAAGGCCGCTTGGGAGTTAAGTTATGCTCAGACTCTACTACTGTGTATGCTCTGCCTTAATGTTGAAACTAAAATTCAGACCAATCGTCCCTTAATATGCAAGAGAGTATTTTAAATTTCCTTAAATAAATTGGTATATTTAACTCATGCTGTTATACAGGACGATTTACTTATGATGGAAATCTAAAAAGCCAATAGAAAAGATGCCTTTCACTTGGTATATGCGACACCTTACCCACAATTCCATAACTGACCACACGAGGGCAATATATCAATTTGTTTCTGTGGGTATTTTATACTTGGGAGTTCCTTGAGTTTGAATTATCTGTTACTGGTATATCTCCACTTATATGTAATAAATCATCACTATCAGAATTTTTAGATTTTTATGACATCATAGTTTTACATTATGACATGATGAAAACCTTCAGTCGCAAATACTAGTAAACAAAACAACCAGAATTTTGTTTAATTCTGATGGAGGTGATCTATAATCAAAATAATTGGGAAATGATCCCCACAAATTTATATTGGATTCAGAGATGGGTCTAGATGTGTTATGTGTTTGGCTTCCGCTCATACATCATCTTGCCATGATTCCTTCTCATCAATATGGTGCTGTGAGGGGTTGATTATTGTTTACCCTGGTAGTACTATTACTAGTAACTGTTTTACATCAATTGTTGACAGAATACAATAAAAATTTGCTGGTGATAGCAGCTCTATATTGATATGTATTTTTTTAAAATATCTGTAAAATATTTACATAAATGATCTGCATAAAAGCAAATTTTTTTGTTTATATCCATAATTGCTAAAATTATTTTAATTACATTACACTTAATTATATATTCATAATTATACATTTATCAGGAATCTATACTGATCAAGGCATCTAAGTAATAACAGCCATGGCAAATTAGCCTTTATGTTTGACCCCAAAGGTCACACATCCTGGTACTTACTTCAAGAAAGTACCAGGATGTGTGACTTTTTGAAGGTCATGCATATTATGTTAATTTTGTACCTACTTCGAACAAGAATCATCTGGAAATCTCAGCTTCAGGTCCTTGTGCATTTTTTCCACACTGGCCAATATACAGTGTACTACTTAAAAATGACTTTTTTTTTAATAACTTACAATTTGTTTTTCCATTTGGCATTATACCTTGCACATGTATATTGGGTCATATTTGTGTATGGGATAATATACACTTTAGTAAGATACCACACAATCATCAGATACCGGGTAGTAGTCTCCATGGCAATTACAATGTTTGTACCAATGTTTGATAATTCAGTGCATATGGAAATAATGGCATAAAGCTGGCAAGACGTTAGCCATCTGCTGTGACAATGTGTGCATGAGATTTACATTTGGCAGGACTCACTTGGACAGATCTGAAAAAATGAAATAAAGGGAAAAATAAATAAAAAGTATATGTCAGGGTAGCAGTGGTTAGGGCTGGGTGGCAGTGATGGGGAGTTGTCTGCTGGTATGGACTGCATTGAAAATGGTGGTGGGGTCAGGATAGAGGTGGTATTGGAAGCCAGGTGGCACAATGGTGCTTGGAAGTGGTTATGGGAGCCCGACCAGGGTTGAGATAGCTGTATGGGCCTGGGGGGGGGGGGGTTGATTCAAATTCAAGCATTGCATCTTGAGATAATGATAATATGAATTCAATTTATTAAGAGATAATGGCACAAAATGTCAACGCAAAACATTTTCTAAAATGTATGCCTGTGCAATCATTTGCATTCAGTAACAACATCAAAGTTACTCACGATTTGGTGGGTTTATAATGGGTATATCTAAGAGTTCCTCCTGCAGAAGCTCCCTGAGAAGAAGAAATGTTACTTTGTCCACAGTTTTCACAGACATCAGGCTTGTGGGCGGAAGAGGCTCGAGACAACTCCTCTAATTTCCTTACATATGCACCTTATGGAATAAAAAAAGGAAATTTTAATGTAGGAATATTTAATCATGAGATTTATGTTCTTTACGTCATGCTTTTAATGGTTAATTTTCAGTGTACGTTTTATATCTAGGAATGCATCATTCATTTCCCATGATTCACTGCACTCAAAAGGTCACCAGCTGTTGACCTGCTATATTTTTAGCTTTAGGTTTGTGCAATGTGCGTTATTACAAACTGTTACTCAAACAGAAGATAATAGTCAAATGACCCACAGGTGGCATTAATAAAAACAACTTTAAGCTATGAAAAACAGGGCATCAATATAAGCTTGTTTAGAAAAAAAGGAGATTTTTCTGTACTGCACTTGTGAATAATATATACTCGGCTTAGTCTTTTCCACGAAACGAAATGAAACAAAATAAAACGAAACGAAACGAAACCCTAACCCTAACCTTAGATTTTGAACGACCTCAAACATCGTCACGTCCGTATTTCACAGTGTGAAATTTTCTCAGATATTATTGGGCCAATGACAAAATAATGCGAGTTAGGGTTAGGGTTTGGGTTTCGTTTCGTTTCGTTTCGTGGAAAAGACTAAGCCTATATACTCTATTAGAAGTGAATGCCTCTTTCTGTGTAGTAAAAAATGATGCCAGGTCCAAAAATAACTTGCTATATGTACTCGGTGTTTGTAAAATTAAGTTTGTAATTTTTTTTAAACAATGGAATATCAGATTTCGTACTGTCTATATTTTATACCGTCGTTAACACTTATTTTGAGAATGATTCCCGTCTGGTATAATTCTGTGTGTATTTTCGGAATCATTGTTAAAGTAAACGTTCATGTAAACAAACATTGTATTTTACACACGTTTTGTACATCGCTGTGAGTCACATTTCGAACAGGACTCTACGTAACGACTACCGCCCTTTAATCGCTTAATTTAGAAATAAAAATAAAGTTTCTTCAACAAAACAAAACCAATTTCACTTGCAGCCTTGGAGAAAACAATGAGATATTTGTTTATCTTCTACTGAGAACCTGACTATTAGAATTGACTGATTGGGGGAAGTCAAACTTAATCTCAATCGAGTTAGCACAAAAAATATGATACAACAAAATCAAAATTACAACTGTTGCACTACATTTTTTTTTTTTTGTGACATTTCCAAACACAACGTAAACATTCTGAAAGATTCTGAGTGTTTGGAAGATGCACTTCTAATAGAGTAATATAAGTTTATTGAATATGAATCAGAAACTAATTATAGTCTACACACTCAAAATACCTCCAGCTATAGGTCCAATGAAGCACCAACAGTGGTCATTGGAATTAGGAACACCAATCAGGTTATATACAAGAATCCTGAACAATCCATTGGTTGGTTTTCAAGTTGAAAGACACATATAAAGAACTCGGTACCAGAGTGAAACCAGTTAGAGATTATAAACTGTATCAACATATTAATAATTACCACCCAAATTAAGTTTAAGCAAATCATGCAATAAGTGCCACAGTATTAGGTATTATCAAGGACTTATACAATCAGGGTAAGTAACTTTCACAACCATGGATGATATGTGATGTAGATCTCAGGAGAAACAAACTCACAATTTGCAATGTTTGAAAGCAATCCCATTCCATCTGTGTCACTCAAACATAATTTGAACCAACGGCGTCACATTGGCACGTTTGATTGAAACAGAAATGAGTAAGATTAACGCTGCATTTAAAAACGCAAAATGTATGTATCTTCGAATAAGCATAGACACTGCGAACAATCATCTGAGATTTCACAGTCTCACTAATTTTAATTAGGATTTCTAGAAATGATGGTTTCTCTTCAATTACATGTGACTTCTTCAATGCTTGTGTGATCTCATGACAAACACTTACAAGCCCTACTCTTATAAATCCTTGGTACCATAAAATCTGTATTAGAAGCCGCATCTCTAATATAACTCGCACCTATTTTTTTAGATAATTGAGAACCAAAAATTCATCATTTCTCATATGTGTAGATGTTCTAATAGAAGCAGCATCCTCTCTGTTGCATTGTACCATTTTAATAGAAGCAGCGGTTTCTAATACAGATTTTACAGTATTAGTATTGAACATAACACCAGTTAGCAGAAAAACATTCCATTCATAAAAAACCATCACTGTCTGGGTGGTTGTGGCAAACACAGATTCCGAACATAAATTTCCTGAAGCCTTATGAATTACTCTTTGTGATTGACTGCTTTAAATTCTAAAGAAACATTTTAAGGTATTTAAACTAGTTTTTGAATAATGAACCTCGATAGTATACATTTTGCGTTTTTGCAAACAAAAATGGCTGCCAAAGTAAGTTTTAAGGCTATGGGGAAATCACAAATCCAAGTTTCAATGTTTTCTTTTAAAAATTGTCAATTTTTCGACGGAACCTTAATAAAACTTTCACTCAGCAAAATATCAATAATTTTGTAATGCTTATAACATTTCCAAATTTTTAAATAGTTATGATGTTCATTCTTATAATATCCCAAGATATGACATACTCAAAGCTATCGGACTATGCAAGAGCAATGCAGTCAGACTGTGAAGATATCATTGAGATTTGCTTACTACATCAGGGGCAATGCAGTCTGACTACACAGATATCATTGGGATATGATGCTATCTTTCAATATTCAAACAAATGGTGAAAAATGTTTAACAAAAACAGTGTTAAAACCAGAAGAGACAGTACACATTATATGTTGTATTCTGTCCCAGTAAGTCTGCAAATTGAAGTTTCAAATCAAATATTGAAATGCCATACAGTAGTGTCACAGACAAATATTTGTTAAACAATTGTATGACTGGCTACTAATGCGACAACAGATTGTATGACAGATTTGGTAACAAATATCACATAATACTAAACCGCAAATCATCTATTGATGCTTCAGTCGGAAGATATCCCAAACATTTAGGAAATGGGAATGCAGTACTGAGTATTATTTGAATCATCATTCATAGCTGCACATACTCTAGATATTGTAAAACTTTATTTTCACTGGCGTTTAATTTGATGTTTTGAGCAATTTCACTGAGTTTTAAGTTCCTTTTTTTTATTTCACATGTTCATACGCATTTAATTTAGCGATTTTTACTAATCAGCGAAAAGTGAAAAAGTAAATAATTAATGTGTTCACAGTACTTTCACTCAAAATTATAATTCAGATTGTAAATTACAATATCCAATATTAACAAAATAATTTGCATATAAACCCAAAATGCACTGCAAAAGAAAAGAGCATGTATTCGGAAGTTCATCTGATAACAGTATAGGTGTAGCTATATTTTTACTTTTAATACTAACGTACATGTATTTACGAAGGATTTATGTGGAAGCACTTACCGATTACAAGTGTGACTACTAGTATAAGGGGGGTCCATACACAAGGTTATATTGAATTACCACGAATGAATTCAGAATAACATTTTTATGTACTTCATTATCATGTAATAGGTATCAGATAACAAACTAGGTAAAATGCAAGGATGACTGTCAATGTTGTAACTATATGTACATACTTAAATTGACTTTGTTTTCAGAGACGAATAAAAGACTGAGTGGCAAGTCAGTAACGCTACCGTAGTCACATTTTTTTTAGATGATTAGTTAATATTAGTTAGTGATAGCGAAGCAGATACAGGTGTAGAGAGTTAATGAAAAAAACATTATTAAGAAACTATTTTTATCACCAAGCTTACGTTTAGCGCTTTTAGTTGGTTTCTTACGTCGGGACGACTTACGTTTCGTACCTAGAGACATGCATTATGAAGACAAAAATAACTCCTTCAGGCTTTAGACATGCGAATATGATAATGACATGCAAATATGGTAAAAATAGGCAATTATGGCAGAAACAAGCAATTACAGCAAAACGCTTCAACCAGAGGAAAGCATTACAAAGTAAAAACAAGAAAGTACCATTATGATATTGCTGATTATTTTCTTTATGATAAATTAAATTTTAGGAAAAAATCCAGTATCTATAAAAAAGAAATGATTGAACAAAACAAATGAATATACCGTAGGATTCTATACACTGAACAACAATATGGCTGCTTTCTAAGAATGAAGTGCAACTATGACAACAATATGGCTGCTTTCTATGAATGATGTGAAACTATGACAACAATATTTCAGTTGAAATTTCACAAGAAATGGTGCGCAAAGATGTAAGATGTGAAGTAGAGAACTTGAGAAATATTCCAGTGAGCAAGAAAGTATAGTTAAATTTGAATGAGAAACAGAGAATTATGAGGAAGATAGGAGGTACAATAGTGATGACATTGTTAAATTTGAATGAGAAACAGAGAATTATGAGGAAGATAGGAGGTACAGTAGTGATGACATTGTTAGATTAGTATGAGAACAAGCAGCCTCTCGGCTGAGATAGCTCCGCTGTTAGCAATGCACATTTCAATTAAAGAACAGAAGATATCATTAGAAAATGAACAATATTCAAAATTCAAAAATATCATTTTTCACCATAAATGATTGTGGTTTTTACCAAGAAGAAAATATCACTTTTTACCAAAAATGACAAAAATATTCATCAAAATTAGAGAATTGAAGATATCGTCATGAAATGAACAAATTTGAGAGTGGTCCACATGTAGTATCTATATATGTAATATCAAAGCAACTGGACTTGTCGTTTTTAACAAGAAGTCGAAAATATCACTTTTTACCAAAAATGACTTAAATATTCACCAAAATTAGAGAATTAAAGATATCGTTACAAAATGAACAAATCTGAGAGAGGTCCACATGTAGTACCTATATATGTACTATCAAAGCAATTGGACTTGCGGTTTTTAACAGAAGTTGAAAATATCACTTTTTACCAAAATGACAAAATATTCACCAAAATTAGAGAATTAAAGATATCATTACAAATGAACAATCTGAAAGAGTCCACATGTAGTACCTATATATGTAATATCAAAGCAATT